TAGTCTATATTAGTGGTGCCCAAAAGGTAGATCCAAGGATGTTGTAGAACTACATGATGCTCTGCTTACCTTTAGAATGATAAAAAAAAAATCACGGAAGTTGTACTTTTAAAACATCTTGGGATCTACCTTTAGGGCACCCCTGCTCTATATACAACTGGTGACTGATAAACTAAAGTGATTAACAATGAAACTTTATGTTCCACTGGACAAAAGTTTATAGGATATGTAAAAATGAACCATTTCAAAATAAGGAGAGGATTGAACTGAAAAATTGGAGCCACTTCTTTTCTGTTAGAAAAGTTAAACAGGATTATGCAATAGAGTGAGAATTATTGGGAATTTAAAGCGAACTAAAAAATTTGGAAAAATAGCAGATTTAGAATTTTTTTTTTGTCATTTCTCTTTTCGGTTTAGTTGTGTTCAGTTTTTAGCTTACATTTGAAATTCACTTGCAATTCTTATTTTAGTGAATAACCCTAAAACAGTGGCAGCAAATGAAGTTAATTCGTGGATACGTAATTTGTATTTTTTTTGCATACTTTAAGGTATTATCTCAGTTCATAAGAGGGTTGTGCCATCTTTAGCTGTATTGTCCCTTTAAAGACCCTTTATTCACAATGTGTGTATATGAAAAAGACAGATTCATGTTTCAGATCCGTGCGTGGATATCTGCTCTGTCAAGGATAACCATAGTGTTACTATTATGACAGTTTTGCAGGTGGACTTTTCAGCTAAATACTATATAGTTCAAGCAATTTAGTTAGCATGTTATATAGATTTTGAAATCGTAATAGCCGAAGTTGCCTTACTCACAAGGAATGTACGTTTTTAAGTCAAAACCCTGTACGTTAACCCTGTACTACCTACTGTCCTCACCCCCCCCGGCCCCCACCCCTGCGCGGTGGGTGGGGGCCCTAATAAACCAATAGGGGGGGGGGACCTACTGTCCTCCCCCCCCCGGCCCACACCCCTGTGCGGTGGGTGGGGGCCCTAATAAAACAATAAGGGAGGGGGCCTACTGTCCCCCCCTGGCCCCCCCCTGAGCGGTGGGTGGGGGCCCTAAATGAAACACCCCCCCAATCAAGGTGACTAGGGGTCCCAAGCCCCTAGTCACCCCCACCCAAAAAAAAAAACTTATCCCCTACCTACCCCCCTCACCCTAAAAATAGTGAGGGGGGAATAAAATAACTAACCTGTAAAAAAATAAAAATAAACTTACCATTTGACGTCTTCATTTTTCTAAAATCTTCTTTCTTCAGCCCCCAAAAAGCTATACGCTGCTCACTGCTTACTACACATGCCCCTACTCGCGGTATAGCGAGTAGGGGCATATTATTTACTAATACTAAGTAATCTTTACTTAGTATTAGTAAATGTGGCTGAAAGACCAATTTAGGTCATTCAGCCTTTTAGTAGATAACTCCCTAATTCCCACGGTATCAGGGAGCTATCTACTAAGCGGCTGCAAGATGCAGCCACAGCAATGAATAGGATCAGAGTTTCATTCATTAGAATGAAACTCCGATCCGAATAAAGTGCCGAATTGCGTTCTAAGAGAAACGAACAGACTGTTGTCATTCAGTTAGAACGCAATTCGGCAGTTTTGTGTAAAATGACAGGAAGCATTGTGGGAACACAGAGGGAAGATAAGGATCATGGGAAAATTGCTCTGACCAGCGGAAATTAAGCACACTTTGCTCCTCCGCTGGTCAGAGCTGGTCAAGCGGAGGAATCCTCCATAAGGCAAAGAGTCCCTACTTTGTTTTATTATTTTAAAGAAAACTAAAGAAGACAGGAAGAAAAGAATAACAGATCCTGAGAGAGGGGGAGAAGAGGAAGAGATTGAGGAAAGGTAAGTTCGGCATGACAGTGCCGCTTTAAGGGGTGCCCTCGAAGGCACTTAGATTTTCTATCTTACAAGCGTCAGGACTACCTATATTTTCTACATCTCTATTTATCATTGCATCTAATCCTAGCTTGCTACTGCATCCTATCCCTCCCTATACCTATTCTCTGCCTCTTTACTATTAACTATTGCAACCATATTGGTGCGCTGTTTAACCTCTTGTGCATTAGAGGTATTTCATCTATATACAGCAGACCCTGTTTCCAGGAGGAATTCAGAGGATACGAATACTCCACCCTCCTATCTTGAATTCAGTGACATTGTTTATAGCAAGTGCTTTAACCCCTTAAAGGACCACTATAGTGCCAGGAAAACATACTCGTTTTCCTGGCACTATAGTGCCCTGAGGGTGCCCCCGCCCTCAGGGTGCCCGTCCCGCCCAGCTCTGGAAGGGGAAAAGGGGTAAAACTTACCTTTTTCCAGCGCTGGGCGGGGAGCTCTCCTCCTCCGATCCTCCTCCTGGGCTGAATGCGCAAGCGCGGCAAGAGCTGTGCGCACATTCAGCCGGTCACATAGGAAAGCATTCATAATGCTTTCCTATGGACGCTGGCGTGCTCTCACTGTGAAAATCACAGTGAGAAGCACGCAAGCGCCTCTAGCGGCTGTCAATGAGACAGCCGCTAGAGGAAATAGGGGAAGGCTTAACCCATTCATAAACATAGCAGTTTCTCTGAAAAAATGGGTTAACCCTAGCTGGACCTGGCACCCAGACCACTTCATTAAGCTGAAGTGGTCTGGGTGCCTAGAGTGGTCCTTTAAGGACCAAACTTCTGGAATAAAAGGGAATCATGACATGTCACACATGTCATGTGTCCTTAAGGGGTTAACTTTTACTATTAAAGTATCGCTTTGTATTTACACCTCTCTTGCTAGCAAGCGTCAGGATTACCTATAAGGGACATGGCCCTGGTCGTGGTGCTGCTGGTGTTGGTGGACCTCCTGTTGCAGGGAGAGGACGTGGTCGATCTGTGCCAGCTACACGCACCTTCCTCAGGTGCGAGTAGGCGACAGAACCTTCAGCGTTATTTGGTAGGCCCGAATGCCGCTCTACGAATGGTGAGGCCAGAACAAGTACAGGCGAGAGTAGATTGGATGGCTGACAGTGCCTCCAGTTCCTTCACATTGTCTCCCACCCAGTCCCCTGCTGAAAGCTCAGAGTAGGCACCTGCAGCCCATGGCCATCTGTCTTTCACGTCAGCCCCTTGCAAATCAGCCAAGCAGTCTCTTATGCTTTGTGATGACTCTGCTGGCGGGGTTTCCGTAAGCCATCCACCTAGCCCTGCCTCAGAAGTGGGCACAACCACATATGTGTCAGGATGTGGACATGCGAGGACCACCGCAGCACATCTCTGATGATGACGAAACACAGATGCCAACTGTTGTGGCTTTCTGCAGTGTGCAGACCGGCAAGGAGGGCAGGGTTGAGGAGTGGGTGGAAAATGATGTGGAGGAGGATGAGGTCCTAGACCCCACATGGAATCAAGGTCATGCGAGTAACGTGTCCAGTTTGGAGGAAGTGACGGTGGTCGCACAGAGGCACCAGCACAGCATAAGAGGGTGCAGGGTGCAAAAGCGGAGCGGCCGTCCCCTAGACAGTACGCCTGCTACTGCCCCCAGGGACCGAGCACACCAAAGCCAGCTCCAAGGAGTTCCCTGGCGTGGCAGTTCTTCAAACAATGTTGTCAGCATGAGTGGTTTGCACGCTGTGCAATCAGAGCCTGAAGGGAGGCATAAACGTTCTAAACCTGAGCACAACCTGCATGACCAGGCATCTACATGCAAAGCACGAGCTGCAGTGGAGTAAGCACCTCAAAAATGAAGAAAGGTCTCATGCTCCTCCTGCTTCCTCTTCTGCTGCTGTCTCAGCCTCTTCCTCCACCGTTGGAGTGACAGTGGCACCTGCCACCCAGCAAACAGAGGATGTGGCAGCAACGCCACTGTCCCCAAGCATCTCCACACTGTCCCATGGAAGCGTTCAGCTGTCCATCTCCCAAACACTGGAGAGAAAGAGGAAGTACTAGCCACCCGCGATCCCTGGCCCTGAATGCCAGCATTTCAAAACTCCTGGCCTGGAGAGACTGTGCAAGCAGCAGCAGGCGATAGTGGAGTTTCAGCTGCAGCACGCACGGGTCAGTCGCTCTGCGGAACAGCACCACTTCACCACCAATGTGTGGGCATTCATGCGAGACCCGTGTACCATGTTGCACTGTTTCGAGTACTCCACCAACATGGCCAGTGCCGATGACGCCGTTCTCAGCCTTATTATCCCGCTTCTATGTCTCCTTGAAAAAACGCTTCGGGTAATGATGGAAAAGGATGTGGCACAGGAGGAAGAGGAGGAGGGGTCATTTCCACGGTTATCAGGCCACTCATTCACAAGTGGCTCGGAGAGTGGGTTCCTGCACCAGCATAGGCCAGGTACACAATTGTCCAACCAGGGCACAGTTCTGGAGAATGAGGAACCGTGTTGACATCAGGGTGGCACCCAACGCAGCTTGTGGGCATTACTGGAGCGTGGCTGGGGGGGGATTCGGAGGACACAGACGATACACCTCCCACAGAGGACAGCTTGTCCTTGCCTCTGGGCAGTCTAGCACACATGAGCGACTACATGCTGCAGTGCCTGTGCAACAACTGCCGAGTTGCCCACATTCTAACTTGTGCTGATTACTGGGTGGCCACCCTGCTGGATCCCCTAAAATCAAATCGATCCCTAGTTATTTACTGGGAATCTCATGAACCTGTAAATTGATACACCTATGGGGGGAGGATACAATTATGTTTTATTTGTAGGTCTGCCTGCCTGCCTGCCTGCAGTGCACTGCATCTGATCATAAGGAGAAATGTGTGGTAAGTAAAATGTAAACTATTAATAAGTCACCTAAAATTTCAGAATGGCCCCATCTCACCCCTAAAATTAAAGTGTTGCTCATTGTCCATTTACTATGGAGGAGGTATGCATCTATGATAGGTACTTTTTTTTTTTTTTTTTAAACAAAAATAAAAAAACAGTTGGCTGCATACATTCTTTTCTGGAGGGCATAAATGAGTAAAGCCTTTGTGTGCATACTGTATTTTGATCACCAAATCCCTCCAATTTACATTGCTTCATTTTTATATATAGCTTATAACAATCATTTAACAATAGTGGATGCCTGAACGGGAGGAACCACCTAATTCAAATTAGGTCAGCACATCAGGGATTTGCCATGATTTTGTCTTGTGTTTGTTGCATTGAGTGGCTTAGCATGCATCTTCCAACCTCATTCTAGTAGGGCTTCTCATTAAACAGGGTATAAGGAGTTGACGGGTTGGAAGACATGAAATTCCATACAATAGCCCCATTAAAATACACAAGTGAAATTGACATTTGGAGGGGATAGAGTAACGAGAAAGACACAGATCCTTAAACTTACAAATGCAGAGGAGAAAAGAAAAAAGTAGCTTAAAACAGAGTCCTATTGTGAAATACAAGTCTCTGAAGCTGCTTAAATGGTTTTAACTCTCTAGTACTTATATGTACCATACATTAAATGACAATTTAGTACACATTCCTCCTATTTTTAATAGGTAAAATTTCCACACACTGTTCCTGGAAAATCATCCACATTCTTAAGAAAGAAATAGGTATATTTCATTTAGTGGCATAAAACCTTTCTTAAGAGGTTTTAGAAGATATGCAGTGCAGAATAGTAAAAATAAAAAAACCTTTCCCCGTCATCATGTTTCAGTAAACATTAAAATATCAGCAAGACCCACGCATTTTAATTAAATCCCATATTTAGTTCTTTGAGACCATGATACCTGTGGTCTCTTGTGATTGACATTCATCTGTGCGGAGCAGCTGTACTAATCCACAGGATCTTGCTGCTAAAAGGCTGTATCAGATGACAGTCAGTAGAATGCTTTGCAATATAATCTGAGAATAAGAGTCATAGGCATAGCTTCCCAAAATCTCTATGCAAAGCCGTCAAAAATTGTGTTGTTTCATTTGCCCAAAATTTAAAAAGAAAAAACTGGAAAAAAAAAAAAAAATTTAAAAAAATTACAGAACTAAATTAAGATTCAAATCCCACCTACCGTGAACTAAAGTATGAAAATATCACAAATTATATGGGGTTTTTTTTAACCTACAAAAGTAATAAATTTTATACAATCTGTAATTTAAAAGAAAAAAAACAAACAAAAAAAAACCCCAACAAAGTTCACATTTGGGCATTCATAATGTTCTCCGCAACATCCAGTTAATAGAAGCGCTTGTTTCTTTCTTGACGTTTTTGAAACACAACTGCTCCCACAACAGCACAGACTATAATACCCAACAATGCAGCTAAAAGCAACAGGAACACTTTCCAACCAGTCAGGGGGCCACTGCGGAAGTTGCCTGTTGGGTCATCAACATTATCTGGGGGAAACCAAAAAATACAAAAGAATGTTTAGGTTACAATTAGCATATATGACAATTAGCATATACAATAACAATTGAAAAGAGTCACCTATCACAATTTTTGTACAAATGCCCGCCTCTCACCCCACCCCCTTTTTTTTTTTTAAAATCTGTATATACAGCAACTGCAAGGCTGTTAAAATGCATATCACTGGTATGTTATGAGAGAGAAAAGCCTGGTTTGCGCTTGGCATTAATTGTAGAAAATAAATTTAATTTTTATTTATTTTTTTTAAATTGTGACCATCATGAGAGGGTGCTGTCACCAGCACAAGCATGTGCTATAGAACTAAATGTACACTTCACCCTAGTAAATACTTCAATAGCATTTAATTGAATGAATACTAGCAACAAATAAGAGAAGTAGGCTGTATTGCACACGCTCCTGCTCCTAAATACTCAAAAATACAGCAGCAGTGAAGCATCAGCAACCAGCTTCTGCAGTAAATAAATGTCCAATATCCAACAGAATTGTACAAGCAACATGTTACATATAGATTGCAGCATATTTTTCCAGCACCAAAGCTCACTCAGGACTGCTTACCTCTCCTCCTTCCCAGGTGTCATGGAGGAGACATGAGCTCCTCCGGACTCTGTCCAATCCAATGCTGCTGATTAGGGAATCGACCGATTATCGGTCTGGCCGATATTATCAGCCGATATTCTGTATTTTCAGCAATTTCAGTATCAGCCAATAAAGATACCGATATTACCGATAATGCAGACCAGGGCTGCCATCAGGGTCCCGGTGGGACCAGAACACTCTTACTTACCTTCCCAGCAGCTTCCTTCTGCTCCCCTGTCTAAATCTTGGGAGTCTCGTGGTCGTCAGAGCTTTGCCACGGGTTACCATGGCAATGCTCCGCACGGCATGCAGGCCAGGGGAGCTGCTGGGAAGGTAAGAAAGAGTGTGCTGGGCCCCCAGGGAATCCCCCCCCTCCCTGGCCAGGTAAGAAGCAGAGAGGTGGGACTAAAACAAAATGTAAAAAAAAATATATATACTTAAAAAATAAAAATATAAAATGCGCCACCCCACCCCCGTTTTACACACATTACATACCTACACAAACACACTCTGCATTCATTATATACAAACACTACACAAACAAACTGCATTCACTATTTACACATTACACACACACACACACACACACATACATAAACACACTGCATTCATTAATCAAATACTCTCACTGCATCCACTACACACACATATATTCTTGAAAACATAAAAAACTGACTGTCATGTATATTTTGTGCATTTACCTTAATAAAAAAAAATTTGCAAAAAAATAAAATAAACATCTTCAGTTAACAATAGATTTGTGAAGAAATAGTAATTTATTTTTAAAAAATGGTAAATATACAGAATATCGGTATCGGTAAGTTATCGGCTATTGGCCTGAAACGTCACAAATTATCGGAATCTGCTCAAAAAAAAATCAATATCGGTCGATCCCTACTCCTGATAGAGGACCCAATGCATGTGTGTCGAGCACTGCACTCACATCAAATACTCCCATAGGGAAGCATTGAATAAATGCTTTCTATGGGGGTGAAAAATCACACGACCGAATTTTAGCTGGACAGATTTAGCTAGTTAGCTAGGCAGGCGTAGATGACACTGTTTTTGCTATGAGACTGGAGCAGGCCTGGGATTGGACAAGTATCATGAGCTACAAACATAGCAGAAAAGCAAATAAGCAGGATGCAAGACAAAATACTTTTCAGTAGACTTGAACAGGGGCACGGACTGACCCCCTCCCATTTTGATTGTTATTTATCGTGGTATTTATAGTCATCCTCAGGGTTAAGTTATGAGGATGGACATGGTGCTAAATGGTACGAAAGGCGGTAAGGTCATCTAGGACTGACTGGCAATTTGGTGATTTTTAATAAAGTTTGCAAAGTTTTAAGTCATATGTTATTTGGTTAATCATTTTAAATGATATGATTGTTATAAATATGGTTGTTATACCCTCGAGTTTTAAATAAAAATTCAGAAACTCTCCTGGATACACTAAAACCATGATATGCAACAACATTTTACACCTTTTTTTCATCACTACCAAGCCACCTTAACCATGCCTTCTCTACCCCTTAAGGCCCAAACTTCAGGAATAAAAGGGAATCATTACATGTCATGTGTCCTTAAGGGGTTAAACAAAGTAACTTCAGTACATACTCAGCTGAGTTAAAGAGCAATCGGTGTGAGTTGAGTTAATGAGACGACTAGGCCCCACAGTCAATAATATCTCACGTCAGCAGCTCAGTTCATACTGAATTCTGTTTTTTATAGAAACATTGCGTAACTTCTAATCAGGAATATGTCTTGTGAAAAAAGCATGCACAACTAAAGATGTGGTGTTATGTTGCAAACAGCAGCATACATTTTTTTTTATTTTTTTTTTATGCAAAACTAAAAAGATTTGGAGAAAAAAAAAAAAAAAGGATGAATACATGAACAAAATCTAGCAAATGCACTTAAAGGACTACTCCACATCCATAAAGCACTACAGCAAATTCCATTAACTCCCCTAAGGTACTTAAAGCGGCACAGTCATGCCGAACTTACCTTTCTTTAATTGATTCCTCTTCTCTTCCTCTGTCAGGATCTGTTCTTCGTTTCTTCCTGTCTGCTCTAGTTATCTTTACAACATAAGACAAAGTAGAGATTACTTTTGTCTTATGGAGGTCTCCTACGCCTGACCAGCTTTGACCAGCGGAGGAGCAAAGTGTTCTTCATTTCCAGTGGTCAAAAGCTATTTCCCCACAATTCTCACCTTTCCTCCATGTTCCCACGAAGCCTCCTTTCACAGAGAGAACGCCGGCGAAACAACAGAATGAGAACAGTTTCTCCATTCGTGTTACGACGCAATTCGGGACTTTCTTCGGATCGGAATTACATTCGAATGAATGAAACTCCAATCCTATTCATGCCATGGTCTTAGGGATCTATCAAAAGGCTGGAAGACCTAAATTTGTCTTTCAGCCAAATGTACTAATACTAAGTAAAGATACTTAGTATTAGTAAATTCTGCCCCTACTCGCTAGACAGGGGCATGTCCCTACTTTGTCTTATGTTTTAAAGATAACTAGAGGAATCGATTAAAGAAAGGTAAGTTCGGCATGACAGTGCCGCTTTAAGTGTGCACGCCTCCACCTACCTCATAACTCCTCCTCAGACTTCAGTTTAGAATGTGGTGTGTGCACGCATGCGCATACGAGCAGACACAAGAGCATGAGTGGTTGCGCAGATGCACGAGGAATAGTTTCATAGGGTTCTCAATGACCGAAAGTATTTTCTGGAGAAAAGTGGGAGAGCTTGCAATGGCTGTAGTAAATAAGGAAGCTCTTTTAAGATATAGCCCCAATGAATACATGCATGCATGTATTCACTGGGATATATTTTAAGTTGCGTTGATGTCAAGGGTGTCCCATGAGATTCCCTCATAGAACACAGTAATCACAGTAGCATAGTCAATCGGAATTTGGTGATTTTTGACCCACCAGATGTTTGTGAAGTAAGTGTAGCTATCATTTGTCTATAAGACTAGAACAGCACATGCATACCTTTGGGAGATTTCAGCAGACTCACACTGGGCTCTATCTTAGTCCAGTCAATATTCTCATCATCTGGTGAATGTTCAACCATTAGCTGATAAAGCTTCATAGAGATGATATCATGATTATCTACAGACATAAAAAAAATAATTATATTATGACAGACACATAAACCGCAGAGAATATGTATGTGCTAAAGGTACACAATATGCTCAGTCAACCTGATAAGTCTCCAGTAGCTGCAGAGGCTCCAAAAAAGTATCCTGTGGGCAACCGGACTCCAGATATATCAACACAGTTCTTCCATTCATTCTTATCTTCAATATCAGTCATTACCTACAGGGAAACGAGATCAGTTAGCTTGGAGGAAATCAGTCCCATTTGCTAATTATATTAGCAGACTTGTGGAAAAAAAATGCCCATTCTCACCGTAAGACGGCCCCTGGAGTAGCGCACAGCTAGGAACGTGTCGTGATTCCTATTGCGGATATCAACTGTACAGCCTGCCAATTCTGCGGAACGCCCATCTTTGCTGTGGTCATACTCTACAGTTCCATTGTTCACCATTACAGAGATATAAGGAAAGACACGCTGCAAAGTTAAAGCACATTCTTAGGTGGGGTGTAATTTTATACTTATTAAAAAGAATGCCATACTTTACTCTATGGATTATACTCTGTAATCCTTCAGTGTTTTCAGCCTATTTCGTAGTCTCTAGAGAGCTCAGTAAAAACTGGAAATATGGCATTGCATATTGCAGCAAACTTCAAATGTTGATCCTCCCACACACATACAAAATACCAACTTTGTCTTTCTGTTACATACATAAAATAAATAAAAGAATTGTATTATCTGTTTGTCAAACCAAATAGAACTGATCCCAAAACCACTACAATAAACCGGAGTGGTTATGGTACACCAAGTGTCCTTTTAGAATGACTTTTGATAATTTCTGTTCATTGGTCCAGTTACCTATTGTCCACTAAAACGGAGGTGCTATAATTCCCAAGTAGTTCTCAGATTAAAATATCCACAAACTAATGTACAGTCTGCACTTTAGCTTTCAAGCCATTGTTTCAATTTAGATTCAAAATGATTGAGTACAGAACCAAAACAATACAATTTCCATCACTGTTCAAAACACATTTTTTTATTTTAGGGAGTAACATGTCCCTTTACTGTATACAACGTTTCAGTAAAGACCACCGTTTGCCCTGTGTCTGTAAGATATCCATATATCACATTGCTGGAACTAACCTCTGTTGTTTCATCATTGGGGTATGTGTCCAGGAATATAGCCAAACCGTGGAACTTGTCTCTGTTTCCAAACACAGGACCTTTCAATAACAAAATTTGTTTTTAACTACAGAAAGAAAACACACAAACAAATGACCATCCCAAGAAGTCAATAAAACTATTACTAGGTTACCTGGTTGTAGCCGATCCCTTGCATACCATAAAGCAAAGCCATCTCCATTGAGATTTTTCTTCCCAGACCCATGGACATGAAATTGCACATGAAGTTCCCAATCCTTCAAGAAGCAAGGCTGAAATGTAGAAAATGCAGCATTGAACCTCATCTCATTTGACCTATTGGTATCTTTGTAAGAATATATAAATAATGTCTTACTATTCTGTTCCAGATTGAACCCTCCTTGCTTCTCTCATCTGGCGTCAAGCGCACATACTGACTAGTCAGCATTGTACTTCCACTGAAATCCCATAATGGCATTGAACTGGAACCTACACCTGTATGGCAATTAAGACAGTCCATATTATTAATAATAATAATTATATATATATATATATATATATATATATATATATATATATAAAGCAGAAACAGTTCTTTTAACAGGTTGACTTGTATCAGGGGTCCCACCTCAACTACCAATGCTGGAGAGCCGGATGTTCCTAAGTATCAGCTTATCACTCTCAGCCAATGAGCTAAGCCCTACACTGCAGTCTAAACTCAGTAGAGCTAACGGACGTTCCTGCTTAGGAACTTTCAGCTTTTTGACATTACTAGTGAAGGCAGGGAGTAGTGCAGGGCATACCCCAGATAAGAAGCCAAGAGAGCTGTATGGTTATGCTGCTAGGTGTGACAAAAAAAGTGAAATAAGCATGTTTGTGTTTCCCCCCACAAAATGATTCAAAAGATGTTCAGAACAAACGATTAGGAAAAACTTTGGTTATGACAGCAAAGATGTATTTTTAACAAAGGAGTGAATACTTTTTTTTTTTTCAAATGTCAAAGTCAAACTTGAAAAATGCTTCAATGTGTTTTATTATGCTTTTTGTTCAAAATTATTTATCTGTGAAAGGTGTAACTTGATGTTTATAATCTTTTTTCCATATTAAAGAAAACTAAGAAATTCTAACCACCACTTTAGTAGTTTTCGTACTAAGAGTACACTGGCGCCATCCCACGGTAAGGAATTAAACTGTTTCTTGGACAATTTGACACTAACCTAGGTCTCCAGGGCGGTCGCGGTCTTTCTACCTTCAAATATAGCTAAATCTGAATATGTCAGAGAAAAGTAAGAACCAGGGGCACACAGGTAATTGCCCATCCATCAAAACAATAATAGTTTGATTTGTTTCTTGTAGTATGGCGCAAGGGGATTACGGGCATCATAGGCACTGCAGTGCTGTATTAGTTATACTGCTTCTTTAAAGAAACACTCCAATGGACAGGAAAAAAATATATTTTTACTATTTAGTAGATACATCCCCAATGAAAATACATATGTATTTAATTATGCCTTTCCCCCCCAATAGTGGTGTAACTAAAAACAGCTTGGAAAAGCTACAGATCTTTTGTCTGCAGCCTTTGCAAGCCCTCCCCTTATTCCACAGCCCAGACTTTCTGTGGCTCTCCAATAACAGGCTTCCCAAAGCAGCTCAATGAGAGGTTTTTGCAAGGCAGGTCCTCTGAGCAATTGTCTGCCTCCTGAGTTTAGCTCAACTGAGCGAAATTTAGGATTCTGACAAGTAACTAGACTGGGTGTCTGACAGCCAGGTGATGTAACAACGTTATTTCCTAAATGAGCCAATTTCCATTCAAATCTGCACTTTTTCGAAATAACAAACAAACAACACAACAGGATACACTCTTCACACGTAAAGCATGTCAGAAAGCAAAAGTACAAGTGCTTTAGGTGTTTGGTGTGTCCCTTTAAAGCAGGAGTTCTCAACGACCCCCTACCAGTCCAGGATTTAGGGATTACCCTGTTGTGTCTAAAGTGTTTGTCCCCCGCCCCACCACCCCAAAAAAACACATTAAGCACAGCAGGGTAATCCCCAAATCCTGGACAGTTCGGGGGTCCTTGAGGACTGGATTGAGAACCCCTGCATTAAAGGAACTCTATAATGTCAGGAATACAAACATGCATTCTTGACACTATAGGCGCACAGACCACTTCAGCACATTGAAATGATCTGGGTGCACTGTCCATTTCAGTTAACCCTGCAATTGTAATTATTGCAGTTATTTAGAAACTGCAATAATTACCTTGCAAGGTTAATTTTACCTTTGATGGCTATCTACCAGACTGTTACTAGAGGTGCTTCTGGGTCATTAGGCGATGCGTGAGGACATCCAGCACCAGTTAAAATCCCATATGAAAGCATTGATTCAATACATTCCTACAGGGTTGTTCTAATGCGAACGCGGCACTTGAGCATTGGGTCCCCAACATTGGCTGGCCTCAGGGGAGGGAGACAGAGCCTGACCCACCGCTGAGGGACATCGGTGCTAGATTCAGGTAATTGAATGAAAGGTTTTTTAACTCTCTGCGCGCTGCAGGGGGCACGCATGTCAAGGGGGCACTGTAGTGCTAACAATACAATTTTGTATTCCTAGCCTAGTGTTTCCCTTTAAACTAAGTATTTAGGTCTCCAGCCCACCTCCGATCGCATGGGAAAGGTGTTTTCACTAATCTTTTTCCCCCCATGCCTGTCTCGCCACGGCTGTCCTGTTTGATTCCACCTCCATGGCTGAGAACATCAATCTTGGTGATCTCAGCCAATCTAATGCTTTCCCATAGAAAAGCATTGGGATGCTATAACGCATGCGTGGCAAAACTCTGAGTCAATCAGCATCTCATAATAGAGATGCATTGAATCAATGCATCTCTATTGGGAGTGCTCAGCGTCCTTATGCAGAGTGTGGAGACTATGAACAAAAAGCAAGTACCTCTAGTGGCCCTCTGAGTGACTGCCACTAGAGGTGTTACTAGGTAGCAATGTAAACACGGTCTTTTCTCTTAAAAGGCAGTGTTTACATTGAAAAGCTTTCAGGGACAGGCTAGACACCAAACCCTGTACAAACCCTGCAGAGGTCCTAGTGACTATAGTGTCCCTTTAATTGCAACATTACACTCACTACAGAAGTTATAATGAGCATAACAAAAAAGCTTGAAATAAAGCAGTTACAAGTAACATTCATAGTAATGGGTAAAAGAAAAAAAAATACAAAATGTAAATGCAAGTCAAGTAAATTACTAACTAAAGAACTGCTGCAGAGTATCCAAATAGAGAAATAAACAACAATACAATAACGTTTTACTGTAGGATATTATTATAAGAATGCTCTCACATGTACATATTGTGGTTAAGGTGTGGGGAGTGGGGAGGAGACGGTTGCAAACGTTTAGATCTGCATAACACACACACACCTGTACAGCACATAAACGACATGTGTTTGGTACTGGCAATGCAGCCATGATAGGTTTTCTATTACCAGATTTGGGTTTACTCCATACATAGAGTGGGATAATGGCTAGACCCACATCTCTTGTCCAACTACAACTCCCTTGATGCTCTGCCAGCCTTGGCACTGGAAAGCTTCATGGGAGATGTAGTTCTCTGACAGCTGGGAGGTCTAGTTTTTTGTTTTGTTTTTTTAAACATGGTATTTGTTGTGACTTATTGAAGACATTGTTGGGGAGGGTCTTGCCCTGTGTCTGGCCATGAGTGTGGGGCTAAGCTCCATTCCCTCACCTTGGTATGGCTTGATAAGAGAGTGCTCCCTCTTTAAGTGCTCACTATTCCCGTCTGTCATGTCAGCAGTGCTCCTAGGGTGCAATATAAGCAAAGGGAGGAAAAGGAGAGAGACTCCATGGTGACACAAGACCACCGCCATCACTACAGTCGCCTTCCAGGACAGTTTCCTGCTTCCTGATACGTCACTTCCGGTCTCCCACCTGTCAGCAATGCTAGCCAAAGGTAATAAAAAAAATAAAATAAAAATGAGTGTATTGATTTCGCATTCGGCGATATATCTGGTGGAAAATTCACGTACAGTCTGCGTTATCCATCTTTGATTTGGTAAAGCCATCCAATTATCCAGGACATAGCGAAACAAAAAAAGGCGTGTTGCCCTCATCCAATATGGCCGCCGGTGACTCGGCAACCTGTCACGTGATATTGCAGACCAGTCAGTGAGAAGCAAGTAATCACTTCTGACCAATGGGAAGGGGACTTCTGTACACTTTCTTTTGGTCTGGGCTAATGACTAAATGAGGTTTTACTGCCTTACAACATTCCACACCTAACTTTATGGTGCTGATCTAAAAAGGAAGCTTACAAAAAAAAATTAATTTTCAGATATGCCAATATGGCCAAAATGACCAAGAAGTTGTTAACATGCACATTACTAAATTACTAAAAATGCTTTCAAATTTTATTTTTTAAAGTATTCAGACAGTTTTTTTAAGCTCTACAGAATCTGCTAAACAAACTCTTTTAAAGCTGAGATTTCCGTATCTTTACTTGATAAAGAGGATTTTTCTCTTTTGTGAGGGTTTTTCAGGTCTCAGTGGATAATATTTAACCCCTTAAGGACCAAACTTCTGGAATAAAAGGGAATCATGACATGTCACACATGTCATGTGTCCTTAAGGGGTTAAAGGGACACTCCAGGCACCCAGACCACTTCTGCCCATTGGAGTGGTCTGGGTGCCAACTCCCACTACCCTTAACCCTGCAAGTGTAATTATTGCAGTTTTTTTTATAAACTGCAATAATTACCTTGCAGGGCTAACTCCACCTCTAGTGGCTGTCTACTAGACAGCCACTAGAGGGCACTTCCTGCTCTATGGCACAGAAAACCTGTGTTAGAGCGTCGTTGGACGTCCTCACTCTGTGTAAGGACCTCCAGCGTCGCTCAATTCCCCATAGGAAAGCATTGAAAAGCGTCTCCCCGGTCGGTGGGCGGGATCAGCCTTTTTTTTATGTTACGATGGATTACATTATTTTATTCTTCAAAACAAAATGCTTGCGCTGCCACGACAGCAGGAGCAAGCACAATAAGTTCAACAGAGCAAGACATAAGCATGGCATTAAAATAATTTTTTAAATTTTTTTTTTTTTTTTTTAAAGAAACATCACGATTTAGGCTAGAATACTGCACAACTGTACAAAATAGTAAAAGGGTGTTATACTGCATATTTTAGTCACAATGTATTAGTATATAAGCGTCAAGCTATACTGCACTGTCAAGTGTGTTACCACAGCTTGTTAACGATATATATGAAAGGTGCAACAACATAAACTATGACATCTCAGCTATGCATTAAAAAACATGAGGGAATCCACCAGGTAGACATCTAAAATATATGCCAGTGTTAAAGGCAGGCCAGTGTGAGACTACAAAAATATGGTGTGTTAGCTAAGTGATAAAAACAAAAAGGTGGTATCTGATAGCAAATGGTAAAAGAAAACGAACACTCTGGCATAGAACCACTCCCAGGTACATGCTTAAATAACGTTAACCGTTCATTCGATGCCACAAGCATGTTTAAACTGGGAACCGGTACTGCAATTCTCCAGGAGGCGCTTGGTGTCACTGCTCCAGTATCCTTTCGGATTTAAGAGACCTGTCAGACCATGGAGATCTATCAAGCAGCGTTCCAGCCCAACTGCTTCCGATGCCCAGGCTGACTGACGAGCCGATGCCTGGTAACCACTGGATCCTCCAGATCCTGTGACAGGGTTGGTTTCCCAAGTGTTCTCTATTTTGCAGGCAGTTCCCCCAGGGCGTTGACAGCTGATGGGTGTTTTGTCCATCGTGGTTCTCAGCCTAAAAAGGCAGGGGCGTGTGCAGGGGCCTTCTCTGCCAAAGGTAAGGTGAGTGTGCTTCCCGATGAGACTCCAATCAGCTCCAGAAAACTGCACAAACCGCATCAAATGTTGCTTGGAATCTGGCTACCCAGTCACCCATGGGGAGATTAGTCATTGTGGCGGCTATTTTAACTGCGCTACAAAGTTTTGCAGCATAAGTTGGTTCAAGTTGTAGCAATTCAGAGTCCACAGTGGTTGCACACTTGGTGGGGACCGAGATAACCCCCACCGGTCCAGAAGGGGGGCAAGCGGGGCAGGCAATTCACGCTTCGTATTTGCCAGCAGTTATAGGCTGGGAGATCGTCCGTTTCTCCCCTCCAGGGACCACTTCATGCTTGTATGCCACGGTATAGTTTTGAGCCGTATATAGCTGGAAGTGAGACTCCAAACAGGCACATCAAAGTTCCATTGCATACAGGAACAGGTTAGAAAGTGTTTAGGAGTTGTTTGAAAAGTTTACCCACTTCAAAAGTTTATTTTGCAAGCTTTTTGTAAAATATGTCTGGCTGCCATTGTGGTCAGGCCCCACCCCCTTCAGTATTATATTTTATGCTTGTTTATTGCATCACATTTTAATATTGTGGTATTAACCTGATACAATTGTCTTAAAGACACAGTGCACTTTTTTTGTTTTGTATTTTTGTACGTGTGTTTGAGCTTATACACTGTGTAAGGTGCAGCTTTTATATTACTTTATAGTTCAATTACTCCTCAATATTTTTTTTTTAAGCGCCATATTTTACATGTTTAGTTTTATAGAGCAGGATACTGCTTTACACTTTTGTCAAACTAAAATGCATTATATTTAGAGGCATTAGAAGGCTATTAACAGAGCAGGTAATTGGAAATTCTAAATCAAACAGACTGTGCAATGAAGGAAGTTTAAACATTAGATCTCACTTTACAGGAAATGTGTAGGGAAACTGTGTAGGTCCCATGCAGGGTAGGTGTGGCAAGGACTGCATAAACTGAGTGATTTAACTCCTAATTGACAGAGAATTGAGCAGTTAGACCGCAGGGATATGATCTATACACCAAAATCTAATACATAATTGCCAACATTTGAAAAAAATTCCAGGGACAATTTGCAGCACAGCTGTCAATTACTTACTTGAAAATTTACCACACCGTGCATGCGCATTCATCGGAAGAGGGAGCCCGGCGCTGGAGAAAGGTAAGCGTTTAACCCCTTCCTCCCCCTAGAGCCTGGCGGGAGGGGGGCAATGAGGATGGGGGGGGACCTATTAACACTATAGTGCGAGGAAAACGAGTTTGTTTTCCTGGCATTATAGTGGTCCTTTAAGGCCAAGGAAGCTAAGTTGGAAAAATTCTCCCATATAGCTGCACTATTTTGGCCTAAAGTTTGAAATTCCCATCTCTATTCCCTGCATTTCTCTCTTTATTGAGTAAACATTTATAACACAAAGTTCCCACCAACAGTACCATGCATCCTTGGTATGCGATAGATACAGCATCTATATCAGGCAGGTACATTTTATCACTTTAATGTGAGTCGGGTATCCGTCAGGGCTCGAGTCCTGCAGGAACGCATGGGAACGGCGTTCCTACACTTTTTCCAAAGCAGGAACGCCGTTCCCGTTACCTGTCCTGCAGGACCGGCCCTGCTACCTGCACAGAGGGGCCATCACACGCTGTGTTCCCTCTCCAGCTATAACTCTCGCGAGACCCACGGCTGTTACCATGGCAACACTCCGCACAGGCGAGTCTCGCGAGAGTTAGAGCTGGAGAAGGAACACAGCGTGTGATGGCCCCTGTGTGCAGCGGCTGGCTCCCTCCACCGGACCACCAGGCGATCTCCCCCCTCCCTGACAAGGTAAGAAGCAGGGAGGGGGGAATAAAATAAAAATTATACATAAATTAAAAAAAATGTCCCCACCCCCATCATCCAGCACTCACACACCCATCATCCAGCACTCACTCACACACCCATCATCCAGCACACACATACCCATCATCCAGCACTCACTCACACACCCATCATCCAGCACTCACACACACATCATCCAGCACACACACACACATCATCTAGCACACACATCATCCAGCACACACACACACATCATCCAGCACTCACACACCCATCATCCAGCACACACACACACATCATCCAGCACTCACACACCCATCATCCAGCACTCACACACACATCATCCAGCACTCACACACACCCATCATCCAGCACTCACGCACTCATCATCCAGCACACACACGCACATCCAGCACACACACGCACACCATCCAGCACACACACACTCATCCAGCACACACACATCATCCAACACACACACACACACACATCATCCAGCACACACACACACACCATCAGCACACACACATCATCCAGCACACACACACACATCATCCAGCACACACACACACACACACACACACATCATCCAGCACTCACACACACACACATCATCCAGCACACACACACACATCATCCAGCACTCACACACACACATCATCCAGCACTCACACACACGTCATCCAGCGCGCGCACACACATCATCCAGCACACGCACACACTGCATTCATTATACACACTCTTCACTCACTACAAACACACTACATTCACTATACACCCTCTGCATTCACTATACACACTCTGCATTCATTATAAACATTCTGCACGCACTACACACTACATTCACTATACACACTCTGCATTCACTACAAACACACTACATACACTGCATTCATTGTACACACTGCACTTACTACAAACACACTAAATTCATTATACGCAATTTGCACTTACTACAAACACACTACATTCATTATACACACACTGCACTCACTACAAACACACTACATTCACTATACACACTCTGCATTCATTATACACACTCTGCATTCACTATACACACTGCATTCACTATACACACTGCACTCACTACAAACACACTACATTTATTATACACACTGCACTCACTACAAATACACTACATTTATTATACACACTGCACTCACTACAAATACACTACATTCATTATACACACTCTGCACTCACTAAAAAGACACTGCCTTCATTATACACACTCAGCACTCACTACAAATACACTACAATTATTATTCACACTGCACTCACTACAAACACACTACATTTATTATTCATACTCTGCATTCACTACAAACACACTACATTCATTATACACACCCTGCACTGCACTATATGCATAGGAGTGTAATTTTATTTTTTTTTAA